CGGGGTCCCGGTTCGTTCCCCCGCCGGTGTGACCCCCCCCCTCCCCGGGGTCCCGGTTCGTTCCCCCCCTTGTCCCCCCCCGCAGGGGCGTGGCCGCGGGGGCGCGCGGGAGCCCCGCCCTGGGCCCGCGCCGGGCGCGCGCGCGGCCGCCGGTGGCAACAATGTGTCAGGGGCGGCGCGGGGGCGGGCCCGGGGCGGGGCCGGCGCGGGGGCGGGCCCGGGCGCGGGGCGCGGGGGGCGCGGGCGGCGGGCGCAGCATGGCGCGGCGGCACTGAGCGAGCGGCGGCCTCCCGGCCCGGCCTTTGTCTCTCCGGTGTCCCCGGGGCGGAGCAGCCCGCGGCGGGGCCCGGGGCTGAGCCCGCAGGTGCGGCGGCAGCACCGGGGGCTCGGCACCGGGCGGCGGCGGCGGCGCCGCGGGGCTCGGAGGAACTTGGCCGAAGTTGGGCGCGGGGAGGGGGTGGGGGGTGGGGGGGTAGAAGGTTCCCGGTACCGGGGCGATCCCGGGGCGCCGCGGGAACCGGGCCGGTCCCCGCCGCCCGAGCGCGGGATGCGGCTGCCCCGGCGCCGCCGCACCGCGGCCGCCCCCGAGTCCCCCCGCTGACGGCGCCCGGGGCCGCGGGCGATGGTGAGGGCTGGGCGCCCGCCCGCCGCCGCCGCCGCCCGCCGCCCGCCCGCCGTCCCCGGCCGGCCCCAGGGCCCCGCCGCCCCCTGAAGCGGCCGGAGCCGCGCCCGCCGCCCGCCGGGACGATGGTGCGCTGCGGGGCGGCCGCGCTGCTCGCCGCGCTCCTCGGCGTCTGCGTCTGGACCGACGAGACCGGGAAAGTTATCTCGGACCGGTTCGCCGTCTACTGGAACCGGAGCAATCCCAGGTGAGGCGGGGGGCGGCGGGGGCGGCCTCGGCGCCCGACTTGCAGCCGGTGTTTCTCCCCGTACGCACACCCGCCGAGCGCCCGCTGCCGCCCGGTGACAGCGGCCGCCGCCGCCCGCGGCGGGTCGGGTCCCCCTCGAGTCCGGCGAACGGGCTGGGCGGCCCCGGGGAGGGCGGTGGTCCCCGGGGCTCCCTCCCCCGAAAGTTCCCGCGGGGCCCCGGGCGGAGCGTCCCCGGGGGCTGCGGCAGCGGCGGGAGCATCGCCGGGCGCGGGGCGCGTTCCCGGGGGCGGCGGGGGCTGCGGCTCGGCCCCCCCGGCCCCTCCGCGCCCAACTTCGGGGAAGTTCCAGTTCCTCCCACCGCTACCCCGTCTCCCCCCGGTCCCTCTCCGGGGATGAAGGTTCTGCGAAAAAAACCCCGAAATCCGCCCAAAGCGGCGGGTGCGGCTGCGGGGGAGTGGGAAGGAGCGATTTGGGGGGGAAATGGCAAAACGGGCCTGAGAGGGGCACGGGCCGTGCGGAGCTGGGGATGGCCGGCCCTGCTGCTCCCGGGTCATTCCCATCCTCGAAGCGCAATCCCCACAGTTGGCTTCGTCTCCTGACTCCAGTTGGAATTTTGATTTTTCTGTGTGTTTTTTTCCCCACCAAGTATTTTTTCTTTGGGGGCAAGAGTTTCGTGTCTGTCGTATTTCTTTGTTCATGATTTTGAGGAACCAAAAACTGCTGGTGAGTTGGAAGCGGGAGGAATTCTGCTCTGGGAATGCTCAGGTGGTTGGGACCCTCAGGACCCCCCCCCATTCTCCCTGTTGGGGACATTCTTTGGGGTCTGTTTGTGGGGATTCCTGTAAAAACAAACACCAGCCATCAAATCCCCATTTCCCCCAAAATTCCTCAAAGTTCTCCCAAGCCTGGCAGCGTCTGTGAGTGGTGAGGGATGAGCTTGGTGGGTGCAGCCCCTGCGGCCCCTGGCTTTGGGCTGTCCTGTTTTCTGGGTCAAGCGGGGGGTTCTTTGTCCCCCCTCAGTCCCCGTGTGACTTTTGGGGCACGGTGTGGCCTGGTCCTCGTCCCCAGGGCTGCCAGGGACACGAAGCAGCTCCTCCAGCTCCGGGTGGCTCATCCCCCGCTGCCATCCGTGAGGGGACCCTCGGTGCCACCTTCTCTCCCTCGATGACACCAGTGCCGCTGGGTGAAGTTCCTGGCGGTGTTTCGGTGCTGGGATCTGCACAGAACCCTCAGCAGCACCCGGTGTCCACCCAACCTCCACACGTCCCTTTGGGGGGACCCTCCCGTGCCCCTCTGTCCACCCCAAAACTGGGACGAGCCCGTCCCTTTGTGCCTTGGTGGTGGTTCCTTGGCGGTGGTGCCTGCGTCGTGGGCCGCCTGCGGTGCATATGGATTTTATTATCTCCCTCACATTTTTGTGGGGGATTGTAAGAGCCAGGGAATTATTTTTTTTTTCCCTAATTTTTTTTTTTTTTGCCCATCGCGAAGTTTTTGATTTCAGCTCCTGGTGCTCCCCCCCCAAAAAGCTCCCACACTTTGGGCTCTTTTCTTTTGTTCTCCCAAGTGCCAAACGTGTGTGAGGTGTCAACCCCGGTCCAACTCCGGCATCCCGGAGATGAGGGTGGTTGGGGCGGTGGCTGGGATTTGGCACCCAAAAGGTTCTGATGGCTGGGATTTGGCGCCCAAAGGTTCTGACGTTTGGGATTTGGCGCCCAGGGGTTCCTGGGGATGGGATTTGGCACCCAAGGGTTCCGACGGTGGTGCCAAAAGCCAAAAGTAGCCCCTTGGCCACTGGGGACGGGCGTCCTGGGACCCAGCACTGGTGATGGCGTCGGCTCCATCCCCTTCATCCCCTCGTCGAAGCCGCCGAGAATTCCTCCTCGAAAAATCCACAGTGGATCGTTATTCCATATATATTTATACATCTCGAAATCTGCTCTTGGCAGGGAAAATATTTTCGAGGAGGGGGGGAAAATAAAATGGAGTGGAGGGAAGCGCGAGGGGCTGGCAGGGAAGAGCAGACAATGGCTGGTGGGTTCAGCAGGCACGTCCGCAGCGCCTGGCTCCGGGATGTGACCCAAATTTCCCCAATGTGGGAGCGCCCCGTGTCGCCAGCGCTCCCCGCCTGCGCCTTCGGCTCTCGGAATTCGAGGCAATTTATTAGGGGTTGCAAAGATTGAAATTGCCATTGAGTTTCCTGCTTATTCCCTTTTTGAACCCAGCGGTGGGTTTATTTTTTTTTTTCTCTGGAGTTACTACAAGACCGCCTCATTCTTAAAAATGAAGAAAAAAAAAATTATTTATGTGTTTTCTGGTCCCTTCTTTTCATTCTTTTCTCCCCCCACCAACACCTCATTTAGTAAGGGGGAAATAAAAAAAGATTTAAAAAAAAAAGGGGGAAAAGACCCAAGGTTAAAATGTCCTGTTTGAACCCACAGACCTTCTCTGCCACTAAATATTTTTCCTCGGGTTTAAACAGCAATCTATATTTTATAAAAGACAGGAATAAATCTCATGGTCGATATGATTTGCCCAGATTAGAATAATTCTATATTTCATAATTGGGGCTAAATTAAAAATAAGTGGTACCTCGGGATGCTGCAATTTCCCTGTTCTGGGGAGAGATTTAACTACTCGCTGTGGATTTACAAGGTTTATTTTTATTTTTAAATGGTTTTGTGAGGATGCGCTAGGAAAACGTTTGGCTGGATGGAACTACTGGGTTATCCAGGAAAAAAAAATGAAGGATGATGAAGGTAGAATTATATAATAATAGTTTTTTTACCATGTGGAAGTGTGGGTTTTTGCTCCGTGGCACGTACCGGCGCTGCCGATGGTCGCTCTCCGGGTGCGGATCTGTTGGCCACGTCTGGGCCACTCACGGGTGGATCCGTTGGTTGTGTCCGGGGTGATGTGCCCATGGATGGGACCTTGGGGCTCCTCCCTGGCCGGGCACTGCGGGCAGGGGTCCGGCACTGCGGGCAGGGGTCTGGCACGACACCCGGGGCTCTTCCCGCCGTCGCTCCGTGTTTCCCGGCTGCTGGTGCGGGAGCCGCTCACCCGTAGGATTCCAGGGTGGATTTTCCTTGGGAGCCAACCAGGTCGATTTGGGTGTGCTGGAGTGTCCAGCATCATCAGCAGATTGGGGTGTCCAGTTTTGGCCCCCATTGCCCCCCCCCCACCACAGCGGGTTTAGGGTGGATGTCTCGGCACGCGGCACCGTGCGACAAAAAATCAGGGATCCGGGAAAACCTCCGTGCAATGGGGGAAAAGGTCTGTGGGAAGGAGTGACCTGTCCTCAGAAGGTCCCCAGGCCTGTGATCCTGACCCGTGGTCTCGTGGCCGTGCGGGAAACCCCTGGGAGGCCAAGGAACCACGGAAGGTTTGGGATTTGTTGCCGTCCCCTGCTCTGCCGACAACCGGGTGGCGGGCAGGGAGTCATCGTTCCTGGATGCTGGTCGGTGTTCCTGCAGGAATCTCGTGGTCGCTGCCGTGTGCCTGGATCCACGGCAGGAACGTGCAGAGTGACGGGGTTCTCCATCCCTTCATGGCACAGATCCCTGGGACCAGCCGGGATCCTTCCCGTGGCCTGGTTTAGCGCCGAGGTCACGGCGCTGCCTCCGAACGGTTCTTTTGCTGATTTCTGTATTATTTTTCCGTGTGGTTTGTGAGCACAGCTGGGATTTCTGTTCTGCTCCTCTGCACTCCCCAATTCTGGGATCAAGAACCGGAGAAATGGTTTCTGGCAGGGGGATTTACAGAGCCAGGTGATGCTCAGGGCTGGCGGTGATGGCAGAGCAGGATTTTTGGGGGGAAAGGTGCCTCTGCCACGGGGATGGTGGGGTCGAGGTGAATGGGGCACATCTTGGAGGGGATTTAGATCATGTTCCAAATCCCATTGGATTTTGTGCCCCTTTTTCCTGCATTCCCATCTCCTGGAGCTGCAGCCCTGGCGCCTGCTGGTCGCTGGTGCTTTGTCCGAGAGCCTGGAGCGCGGTGACCGTGGCCAGGAAAGCCGTGGCCGTGACCCACTGACCACCCAAGCCAGGGCCAACTTGCCCACCAGTGTGTCACGAGGGGCCGTGGCCAGGCTGCTGGTGGCTGCATGTCCCACTGCTCCATCAGGGGAGTGAAGATGATGCCACATGCATTTCTTCCAGGGGAATTTGGTGCTGCTCTGGGCGATCCCACCCATGTCTCCATGTTGGATTGGGGCTGGATCCCAGAACCTCTGTGTCTTGGATTTGGCTGGGACTTTTGGGATCACCCTCATTGCTACGTGTCCCCAGTTCTCTGTGTCTCCCCTCCCTGCTCCCATGGACATCATACTGGGGCTCTCATCAGCCCCTGAAAGAAACACACCCTGTTCCCGCTTTGGAGTGATTTTAATGTGAATTTTAACCCTGGCACGCGGGTTGTTCCTGTGCCACCATCAGCCCGAGTCCCCTCTCGGGGTGCCAGGGCAGTGCTGGGTGTTGGGGTGTGCCAGCGCTCGGCCTCGTCCTGTGCAATTCCTGCTCTTTTAGTTTTCCTCCTTCTCCTCTCCCTTTGTGCCGAGATCACTCCCAGCCCTTCCCACCCCTCTTTTCCAGCCCGTTAAGCCGTGTTAGCAATTCCTCACCAGCCCAGGGCTGCGGTGAGTGGTTAATGGAGAGCAGACACCACCGGGCCGGCGTCGCTGACAGGATTCTCTCTCCGTGCCCGTCTCCGTCTCCGCCTGTCCCTTTCCAGGGACCGCAATTACATTCCCTGCTGGTTGCACATTTGGTATCCAAATGCCGGCCATGCGCCGCATCCTAATGCGAGGATGGGCTGGGGGCATGCAGAGCTGCTGGAGGGTCAGACAGTGCCCAAAATCCCCCCTGGATCCCGGGGTGTCCTGGTTGGGGGGGACACGCAGAGGGTGGGAGGTGGGAATAGTCCAGGGGGTGAGAGATGCCCTCAGGTACCGTGGAAGGCTTTGAAAGTGCTGCTGTATAAAGAAAGACATACATATAGA